CGATGACATTTGTCAACTGAGTCAGCAAATCTTACCATCCGATCTCATTAGTCACCTTTTACGACGACGACAATAGTGGGTTGTTGTAGACCAATTTTTACCTGTATCTTCACAGGCCCCAGCAATATGAAGAACCCGGAAAAGACTATCCAGTGATCAACATCATGAGCATCGAACCACGCAGATGCGATGACATGTGTCAACCAAGTCAGCAAACCTTACCACCTGATCCCGCTAGTTGTCTCTTATGACAAGCAAGGGTTGCTGAAGACCAATTCTTGACCCGGATCTTCACAGGCCTGGACACGACACACAAGTGGTTGATGCAACCATGCCATCATCGGTTTTAAGATTGTAATAAGGTTTATACTAGGAAACAAATGTTTCAAGAATCACTACCCAGGTGTATTTCTTGTTGAAGGAAATTGACTTTTGACATGCGGGTTGATGCACACCAGTTGTTGTTCATTTCTGAATGAAATGAAGGTATCGCACTCGTATGTTCACGCAAACTAAATTAATAGTAATGATGTTTGAAGATCACAACCCAATCACACCAGCGTTATGGAAATTAGTTTCATGCAACACACACATAGCATATCCTTTGCTGCTGGAACCTCAGTTAAATGTTGTATCAGATTGTAAAAGTAGCAGAGCAGACACATGCAAGATGACTCCTTTCAAAATAGCGCGGTATTCATTCAGGGCATGGAAAAGAGAAAATTATCATGCCACGACTGAGTGCCGCCAATCGAAACATTGCCATAGGCCGCCTTGAAGTGGGGGGGTCGCAGTCGGAAGTTGCCCGACATTTCAACGTTCAGCAGAGCACCATATCTCGCCTTTGGGATCGTTTCCTGCAGACCAATTCCGCCCGAGAAGCAGCTGTCCACGAGTTACCACCCAAGCCCAGGACCGCTACACCCGGGCTGCTCACTTGCGTAATCGTATTGCCACAGCCTTTGAGATTGCATAATTCCCTGGTTTAAGAAGAATTTCCGACCAAACTGTGAAGTGTGCATTCGACCAAAAAGGCCAGTTGTCGTGCCTGCATTGAGAGACATCCTTCGGTGCCATCGAATTTGGTGGTGTCGCAGAGTCTGGAACTTGAACCTTAGAATCCGGATGCCAGTCTGGTTCAGTGATGAATCACGATTCCTTCTTCACCGTCGAGATGGAAGACAGCTTGTTTACCGTCGGAGAAATGAACGTTTCGCCCCTAATGGCTTTCGACAGGTCAACCTATTCGGTGGATACAGTGTCATAGTTTGGTGCGATATCCAGCACACAACAGATCTGATTTAGTGGTGGTTCAGGGAATTCTGACAGCAAATCGGTACATCAACGAAGTCATTGCACGTCACATGCTTCCGATTATGGACAGACAGCGGGAGTTGTTCACAGCACACGTCACGGTCCTCTACCTTTCTAATTCTATCGTCAATGTCTTGCCATGGCCGTCCCTATCATCAGACCTAAACCCGATAGAACACCTATGGGATGAACTCGATCGAGGTGTGTGTTAAAGTCAAAAAACGCCTTTAGTCACTTCCACAACTGGCCATCGCTTTGCAGGAAGAGTGGGGAAGAATTCCGCAAGAGCGACTTGGTCGACTTATGTTGTCTGTGCGGAGACGGCGCCAGGCAGTACTTGCTGCCAATGGTGGCCATACAAAGTACTGACTTTGACGCCATCTTGTGGACTCAAGTAAACAGAAACACAACAATAAAAGTTGCTGTTGTGTTGAACTCTTTGTCTGAAGAAGACCCCGAGACGTGTGTATTGTAACCTTTTTACCACTGAAACTACATGAAATAATCGCTCTTAAAGTTACGCAATACATTATCTGAACATGACTTATGCGTTTCTTTGTTTGAAGAGTGTACATAGTAGTAGATCACCGCATCGTGTTTACTGTCATGCTATATTACAGTTTCATACACATAAAACATGATTAAATAAAGTGTCAAACTGTTTCCTTTTAGTCATTAGTATTGTTTCTGTATATGCCTAAAATTGAATATATTAGGTATATGTTAAGAGACATGGGGAAAACTCTTCTAATTTTGAAAAACGCAAATGTACAGAAAATTAACTGAAGCTTGAACCGTTTAGTAGAAAGGGAAGATGTATGTTTCCAAATTACCGTATATGAAATAAAGATATCCTATTTCTAGTAATAAGAAATACTCGCTGTTATTTCTCATCAATTCAAACAACACCTTGACGACTAATTTGAAATGAAACATGCACATGTAAAGTGACTGTGTTGCAAATTGTCCCAAACTTCTTCAGATGACAAACGTGATAAGTAAAATATATTTAAACAAACGTTACACCAAAATAAACCCGGGTTTTAAACAATGAAAACAAAAATCAGGTTTCCGAATATTTTACTGTTTGCAAGCATCGCAATGAACAACATAGCACTAACAGGCAATGCACCGAATTTAGGTAAACTGAAGATACATGCGTTGTGATTGGTTATTGTAAAATGAACTGTCCAATCGTAAATTGTTTAACATAATTATCACAATACCTTAAACACCTCAAACCGACGACAAGAGAACCTGTCTGATATTATGAAATATTTACTGTAAGGGTTAAAGGATCTTTTTAGTAATGTTAATTATTATTTAATTATTAGATTTTTAAAGGAAATTGACTTGATTGATAAAGTTTGATTCATATATTTTGTAGCTGGATGTATTTTATAATTGGTATAGTTTGAATTGACAACTGAGATTGTTAGTGGATGTACTGTAAAAGTATTGTCTTCCTGAGAGGGTAAGTAAGTCCCAAAACATTCATAGTAAATTTAAACTTACTACTCTCTTAATCGTAGAATATGTGTTCTTTTAATGTATGGCAAGATTTGACTCGCCAACGGTTGAAAGGATGGTGTAAATCCAGCTTGGGTCTATGCAGGTAGCAAAGGTACTGTAATCCCCATGGTTCCTAGTATGGCGATCTACCTTTAGTTGTTGGTGATCTTCAGCCCATTTTTATATTGTATTGTTCATAATTCTCTAACTGTGATAACCTAGTTATTTTACTGTCCTTTGTTGACAGATTTTAGAATATAACTTTAGCTATTGTCAATGTATGAATTGTTTTAGTCACGATATGGCTGAAATATTGCCGGTGTGACTATAATTTTAACTCACTCACTCACTCGTTACGCTGAACCAGATTGTTTTGGATCCATGATGGAAAGAAAAGATTCAGTACCTCTGCTCCCCATCAACCATGGCGTGTCAACAAAGACAGTGTCAAATAGCAGCGGATATCCAAGAAGCAAGTAGACCTCATCGACATGCAATGAGTCCAGGCCAGTACAAGTGGATCTAGGTTTATCAAGATCACCTCACTATGTTCTGTGTGTTGCGTCCGCTGACATCCAAGCGTGCTTTAGAAGTCGCCTACCAACTTTTGGACATTTTTCTGCTTTCGGTGCCCCATGTGTATTCCAAAGTGATAATGGTTCTGAATCCACAACCCAGGTTGTAAGTGAATTGAAACTTATGTGGCCTTCGTTGGTGATCGAGCATGGGAAGCCGCGACATCCCGTGCTTTTGGACCTGTAAGTATCGGAGACAATGTGACTGTTCTTATACCCCATGTCGACAGAGGAAGAGGTGATCCCCGGAATATCATTGGTATAGTGACCGAATACAATGACATTTTCACGATTGCTGTTAAGGGTGGGGTGCTAAAAGGGAAGTATTCCCGTAACCAATTTGACGTATGAGTCACGAAACTATATGATGCCTGTGACTTCGACAGAGATCTTTCTATGTCTTTCTATGTCAAGCAGTTTGAGTCAGTTTGTGGTGGCCAATGATTTGTGAGATGCAACTGTGCTGGGGCCAAACTGTGCAACCGCTGCAAATGTTTCAAAGCAAAGCTGGAGGGCAATTCCAGATGTCACTCAAGTCTGCCATGCACAAACAAACACTGCTAAATGTACATATTTACGAGTATGATATAATAATGAATGCTGCCAAGGGTGGAATGTTAAATGCAAAATGTTTCCGTGACCAAAATGATCTATGTATTGTTCAACAGTCTCTCTGCGTAAATGACTCAAACATGCATTAGATAAATCACTGAACATTTCAGGGATTACACGTAATCACTTACGGTTTCCTGTTACATATATACACACAGCGTGGGTTCAGTTCTAATGGACTGGTTGCATACTGTTCACTCGGATGGGTATTAGGGGTTTCTGAGTGCCATAAATGCTTGAGATGGGGGATTAACAAGTTTTGTGTCTTGAGACATTGTTTGACATGTAGTGAATCAGGTTAAGGACCCCCTTCTAGCAACTTCCCTTACGACAAAGCTGTTACTTTGTGTAAGACATGAAAATAGAGATGCCTATACAATTTGTGTCATGGCTAAAAGACAGACCCTGGTTCAAATAAAATCACAAGTTTGTAATGGTATTTTCTGGGGAGCTTCTTCCTTCCTAATCGACCGCGTCATACCAAAAGACGTTAAAATATGGTACTTGTTGGTCCCTGCCTGACGCTCGGCATTAATGGGTACAACAAGGACTGGTCGGCTCGGAGACAGTATAATGTGTCTGAGTGGGGTATTCATGCTTCACTGCGGAATGATATCTCAGTGGGCTAGCACTATAAAACCAGCTTAAGTCTGGGCTAGTACAAGCAGCCGCACATACACACTCATGCACGTCATCATATGAGCGAAATATTCTCAAGCACGACGTAAAACCCAATTTCACCTCACGTCCTTCCTAACTGATTGATGCAACCCTGAAACATTTGATCAGATTGTTTATGTTACAGCAGAAGTTCAATAATAGGCTACGTTAATTAGTATACAAGAGGATACCTTTCACGTCAAACCTCATCTTCATTCTTCAGTAATACAATGTACAATGTAAGCAAGCTTTTAAACAAATTACTCAGGTAAAACATAGGCCGTTTCATTTAAACCATCTCGTATCTGTACCTGGACAGCACAATCATCACATCTTTCTTTTGACACTTTCCAACGAATTTACTCTTAATTCGTTGAATCGGCATGAACGATGAGGGACCATTGTCAATAAACATTGTCGGATTCCAGGCTTCAACTGGTTTACCACTGTGAAACTTCCAGTTAGCTGTGAGGTGTCGGTACCATCTTACTTCAGCACCATCATCATCATTTAATGTTTAAGTGAGTTACTTGCAAACTTGAAAGCACACGTTACCCACCAGTCCGATATTTAATAGGTTCAGGTGATAATTCCATTACATAGTAGTAAACCCTTATCGCCAAACGCAGGTCTTGATTTGTTATTGTGAGAACTAAATCGTATCTCTGTTGAATGACTTAAAGGCGAGATAAGTGTAATTGACAGTTGGCAATGGGTCAGTCCAGTTTGATCCTACAATCCGGAGATGTAGATGGACGTCTTAATGCTTCAGTTGATCGAGTCATGTGCATGTGTTTCTCATGGCCCCGAAGTTCAAATATAAAGTAAGTGCGTGAGTTGGATTTTACGATGCTATTAACAATATTCCAGCAATATCACGGCAAGGGACACCTGGAATGGGCTTCACACATTGTACCCTTGTGGGGAATCGAACCCGGGCCTTCGTGTGACGAGGGAACGCTTTAACCATTAGGGTACCACCCCTCAAACATAAAGCTTTATGGGAAATGATTGACTGTGCATATAAAAATCAGTTACACTTATGGCACAATGGACATTGAATCAACTGTTTGTTGCATTTACTCATTGGTTACAATGCAGAGTGAATAGCGAGAACCAGACACCATTCATTTCTGTCACATAAAATGTTAGTGATAGCAACTGTCACCATAGTTCAAGACTTGCACGTGTCTTTTTGTCCTAAATGTACAGAATTAATCAGGTGTGAAAATATTAAACTAATTTCTTTGTAAAGTTATATGTGCACTCATAACAGCTCCACCGTCTTTGAACACGAGAGTTTCGTACAGTTTCTTGTCAGTGTATTCTCCACATTCACCCCACATACGTATAGAACACGACATGATCAGATGCATAGAATGCTAAATGTATACAGGAGGTCTTTCAATTTGTTGTAACAGATGCATAGAATGCTATATCTATACAGGAGTTGTTTCAGTTTGTTGTAACACCCTGGCGAATCACAGTTACCCAATCGTCCTAAATCTGTATAGAAACCAGTTCAATACAGAGCACAAGACAAGAATGACCGTTCCCGAATATTTCAACACTGTGTCGTCATCAACATTGAAAGACAGATATTGTCCCAAAGGTTTTGATCACCAAAGGACAGGCTGGTTCGTAAACGATTAATAAATCATCATTAAATTTCCTGTCGACAATATCATGCAAGCAGGATTCCTCGAGAGAGCAGTTTGTATTTGTCATGTCTGTCACGGAGGGGCGGGTGACTACATAATATGCACAGCGCAATACAGTAGGCCCCACTACCAAGGGCAATATAAACTGACGAGCGAAACTGCATTGTGTTATAAGCTTTAGAATGTCAGACCACATCACTTAATGGAGAATGTTCACATCACACGCGGGCATGACTGACTGGAATAATATATCTGAGTACAAAGTTCGCACTATGTCATGAATAGGGTCAAAAATTCATAAACAAAGTTCAACATATTGATAAAACACACACGTCCCTGTCGTGACACTTACACTTGAACCCACTTCAGATGATTCAATGGAAATTAAATGCAATACTATGAGAGATGAAACTGTTTTCTAGTTTCAGCTTTGCTAATTTATAATCAAATGTAAATCTATTCTGGAATGTCAAACCTGAGTCTCTATTTCAGGAAAATGAAAATGAACCCGAAATGCTTTGTATCTGAATACATGTTATGGTTGGTTTGTTGTTTAACGCCGCACTCAGCAATATCCCAGTTATATGCCGGCGGTCTGTATATATTTGAGCCTGGACCCGACAATCCACTGATAAACAGCATGGGCATATATACAATTGGGATACGATGACATGTGCCAACCAAATTCGCGAGTCTGACCATCCGATACCGTTAGTCGCCTCTTCCGACATGGGTTACTGAGGACCAATTCTAACCCGGACCTTCCTACATTTTGTATTTGCTTAATAAAATCATGATCATTTGATATTTGAAAACTACCCCTTCAGTAGTAATAAGTTTAATTTAGAAATCCGAAATTAGGAGTTATACGATTTAATCCTGGTGCGTTAAAAGTTGGAACCGGGTAGTATCTACCACGTGGCTCAGTGGATAACTGTCTGAACACTCACCGAGGGAGCCATGGCCATTTATTTCCAAATGGATTTCGATTGATCCCTACCAAACAGAATCTCTAGGAAGTCAGGTTTAGATGATACATGACGGTTAATGTGCAGGGGTTGGCGATGAACTGACTATGGGGTTTGAAAGTAAAATAATGTCAGCACAGGTTAGGGGAGATTCATTTCCATTCCCTTAAATCATGGTGCAAACAATTTCTACAGTACTTGTAAATTATTAAAATACGGAAATAACTGTAAATACAAAAATACTATTCTTGATAGGATGACATACACACGTCTTTACACCCCAAAATGCCCAAAGTCCGAAATTAATGCTTTCTTCTGAGGGAAACTGATAATCTATATATTAGATTAAAGATATATATATTTACGAATGTTCATTTGGAGTATATATATATACTACAAATGAACATTCGTAAAGTCTGAACAACAACACTGGTATCACTTGGCGGATGAGGTGAAATCTCTCAGTAGATGGTCGTAATGAGCATATATTTAAAACTGAATGTTGAATATCTGCACCTATCGCCCTGCCAATTACAATAGAAGAGACAAAACCCTCTCCATATCAATAAGAAATATCTGCTAAAAGCAGAGTCGATTGTACAATTGTGACTTTCTACATTTGTATATATTTGTTTCAGTAACTCCATGTTCTCATAATACGTGCATATATTGTGTGGGAATGCCACTGGTAGGCAGAGTATACCGTACAGAGATATGGAGGGACACTGTTACACTCCACACCATTGAGCCAGATGCTTCTCACGCCCTCACAGTGTCAGGTATATCACCTTTAGTTCGGCAAGCACCTGCATGTGCGTTATAGATGAATACGATCCACGCACATGGCATATTTGAGTTCATACTATCACTGCCAATTCAATGGTGAAAAAACCCTCTTCATTGAAAATTTCGAAAGGGAGAGAAGAAGTCAATTGAATTGTTACCAATAGTCAAAACAATTTCAAAGGATAGAATGTATTACAGTTGAGCTAAATCTAGCCACAAACATAGTAAACGGCTACCATAATACATTGACTGATGCCAGTTTTTTCTCTGCAACAAATATATTATCATTAAATTCATATCAGCGGTGTCGGAAATTGTGCCTGCAACGAAGCATGTATGCAGGTAGCTGTTTGCAATAGTCGTGCAGACCTTGTGTGACGCATAAACATTTTGCATGTATGCAGTTAAACTGAATCAACCATAAAAGGAAATGTACCTGTTCTCAACCGGTGACATGGACTGACAACTGCACGTTGCAATCTGCCATTACATTGATTATGTACTGATCTCGCTGGTTTCAAATATGTCTACAGTCAATGGGATCTACACACTATTCTACAAATAATGAATTGTAATAGACATTATGTCACTGTCATGAAAATATACTTGGCCCCCACGAACAGTAATTAATGAAAACTAGTTGAAGTTACTGTAGTTAACCGTTACTTAACATTTGATCCTGAAATAGAAGCCTAAATTTCAAAACAATTGTAAATGTACTTTCAAATGTAGAAAGAATGTCCTTGATTCGTGGAAATGAAAATGAATTTACAATCACAATCTACGCAACATATATGGATAGTTTAGTTCATACCGATAAATTTGTAAAATGTATAATGTTGCATGTCGTTCGAAAATTTAATGAAGAGAAAGCATAAGCTATTTTGGAATGCATGACATGGTCCGAAACAACACATAACCCGTGGCTATTAAATTATAATGAAAATAATAATAACATGTCAAGGATCCTTAGTGACAGGGTAACCACACTTGACCCACACTTTAATAGAACGATTTTCTTTCGCATGCATTGTAATGGAGTCATAAAGAGAGTGAGTTTAGATTTACGCTGCTTTTAGCAATATTCCAGCAATATCACACCAGAAATGGGCTTCACGCATTGTACCCATGTGGAGAATCAAACACGGGTCTTCAGCGTGACATGGGCATGCCTTAACCATTAGGCTACCCCACCGCCCATGAAGTCTTATATAGCGACAAAACCCTTCCACGTCCATAACAAATATCTGCTAAATGCAAAGTCGACTGTACAATTCTGACTATAGAATGAGTAAGTAAAGGGCTACGTGACGAGGTAATATGTTTTCATCATGAACCATACACTACCTACATTCAACGTGTGTAAGTATAAGTGATGTATCGTGTTATATGTACAGGGTCACACCTTGAGATCCACAGACAAATAAACGGATTCTTAAACTCGAGTATGACTCCCCTATGTTTTGATCCTGGGCCGCCATAATCTCAAATCCCGAAAATATCCTCCCATAGCTTGTACTGTTACTCGAATCGTAATCCAAAGGAAAAGGTGGTCTTGCTTCGTGTGTGAACACATATACTGAGGAAAAACAAGTGTTCCCTTATTTTTTCCCAGGTTTCTTCACAAGCTATGCGATACAAAGCTTTTGAAGAAACCTGGAAAAAAATAAAGGGGAACACTTATCCTTTCGTGTGATCCCTTATTTTCTTCCCTCAGTATATTTAGTTGTCGCGCATCTGTCTCTCGCTTGACTATATATTAAACGCATATATATTCTACATACACAGCGGAAGGTCGCGGGTTCGATCCCCGACCGCGTCATACCAAAAGACGTTAAAATATGGTACTTGTTGGTCCCTGCCTGGCGCTTGGCATTAATGGGTGCAACAAGGACTGGTTGGATCGGAGTCAGTATAATGTGTCTGAGTCGGGTATTCATGCTTCACTGCGGCAAGGTATCTCAGTGGGCTAGCACTATAAAACCAGATTCAGTCTGGACTAGTACCAGCAGCCGTACATACACATACACACGCATGCACGTCGCCATATGAGCGAAATATTCTCAAGCACGACGTTGAACCCAATTTCACCTTTCCTCACCTTACATACACAATGCATTTTAGTCGAGTGGGTCGTTTCTGTTTCCGAAGTTCCAGCATTAGACATTACGGATGATAAGTATCACACTGTTGATATAATCATACATAATTAAGTGTTTCATCAAATATTCTTATAAATGTAGTGAGTGAGTGAGTTAAAATTTAAAGTCACTTTGGCAATATTTCAGCCATATCGTGACTGGTGTGAAAGGTGTCAGTTGAGTTTACATAGGGCCAATTGTGTGCTCTGTTGATACTATTTACAAATATATTGTTCTGCTTTCAAATGCAATATAGAAATGATGTCACTGCATTCACCAGACATGTCTGATTTCCATATTGCATAAACACCCACATTGAGCACCTATCTTCACAACTTGACAACGACTGGTAAACATGTTTTGTCTTTTATGAATAACCTGTTAACACCATATTGACAGCTTAACTACTGGACCTGTGACAAACAACTGTAACTTATGAACAGTGAGAACAGGAGAGCAAGGTTCTAGTGTAGAGGGGTGTGTGTGAGTGAAATTTGACCTGTACACAAACAGTAGGTCATTAAAATCGCTTCAACAAAGAGCGAATGAAGACAGTTTGTAAAACCCGTATACTCTGGTTCTGATCGTCTGCGTGCCATTACAAATATATCGTGCCTGTGACATTTCGCGTACAATAGCATATTCGTCATATGGAGGCACCTACAGGACTATTGTACATGTAGCTATGA